AGTGAATTAAACGCTTGTTGATCGTGTTTAGCGTTCACACAAAAAATTGTTCATTTGGCCAATCAAATTTAAGATCAGGTGTAATGTTATAGCCAAACCAAACGTGTTTTGTCTTTTAAACAAGGATTGGTGACAATGATAATATTTGTGGGTATTCATTTCAACATACAGTCCTTTATCGTTAGTATATGACATGGCATTAATATATTATCTAAATTTAGCAAATATGTTAACATTGTTTAAGAAAACATCTAAATCGGAACTTGATGATAGTATACGCAGAGGAACGTTCGTAATAATAACATTTTCATTAGCGAAAGGGTCTTCGGGAAGGCATGAAGTTGGAGATATGAATCTATTATGTTCTGAATCATCACCTTCATGACTTGGATCAGTATATGGATCGCCATTGGATGAATCTTGTTCGTTATTTGATGCTTCTTCATTAGCAATACATATATATACTATCTAATCGACAAATTAAATGAAAGTAGATAAACAAGATAAATCCTTATTAGCTAGAAGTTTTCCTATCGATCGATTTATTTATTTTAATATAGCCTGTAAGCATAAATAAAATTCATTTGTTAGCTTGTGTATTTAAACTTTCAATTATTCAACTTCATAATATTTCTTACTGTAATTCATTATTGTTCCGAATCAACAACTCTTTTTCATGATTATCAATATTCAATGAATATTCGGATATTGAACAAATAAAAATTCGAATACTTATTTTTTGACCTCTAACGAGTAGTTATTGCATCAGCAGAACTATTGGTGTCAAGTTCTGATTTTTTTCTGGTCTTCCAACAACTCATTTCCAACATTCTCATTTTCATTTGAATACATAATGTAGGTTTTTTGACGGCGACTTTCTGAAATTTGGATCTGTTGTATGTTAAACCGCTGCAAAATTGATCAAAAAGAACCAGCCCATAAGATTTGTAACATACCCTAAGCATTTCTTCGATGACACAAGACCAATCAGGTTGGTCTTTAATTATCTATGTTTTGATAGTTTGAAAGTTGTTGGTTAGTTTCGTAGTTTGAAATTTCTTATAGTCTTCCTAGTGACTAGTTTATCAAGACGGAAAATTCGCAACAGCGTGGAATGAGGACGACACTCATGCTTGCGTCTGGGACGAAACGAGACGCAAGTTTCCAACACCATCACTCGGATGAGGACGACACTCAATACTCGCAATCTGGGACGAAACGAGACGCGAGCTCCTTAAAAGCAGAAAGAAAATGGTACTTCCCTTTATATTTATAATTTCCGCAGCCGAAATAAAACGTGCGATGCAGTTCCACAGAATTATTTGTTTTTGAAAACCTTGCTATTGAATCAACGTTTAGGCGAACAAAACTTAGAAAAGCGCGGGACAGTTTCTTGTAAACATTTTGCACGTAAACATGTTGCCGATCATAGCAGATAGATCGTCAATTGTGTTACGTAAACATTTGGATGATAAATCTTAACGTAATACACCAAAAAAATGTCATAGTAAACGTCACTCTGGTTATATCGACATCACAAGAATCAAACTCAGATGCATCTCTCTATAGTGCTCTCAAGAAGGGCCTGGATAATATCGATCCTCTTAGTCTTAGATGGAAGGATCCATTAGCAAGTATGGTTCTCAGTGATGATTTAAAGTTGGTAGAGAATTTGAAACCAAGACAGAAACGCACATATTCTACCCAACCCTGGTTAAATTGCTATATATCAGAATGTGTAATGATCTTTTATTTGTTGTTAGTAACCTATACAAAAATAAATATAAGAATAACGCTTAACAAAAAGATTAGGAATATATATATATAGCACCGGGTGAGAACATGAAATGTGCACTGGCCACAGATCTTGCACATAATGTGGACGTAATGAATATGGAAATATCTGGAGGTCCTTTTCAACAAGATAGAAAACATACTCTTAAAGATTCTGAAAAAATTTCAAACACTGGAGTAAACATTCTCCTAACAAGTCTCCGTGATATCCCCGCATCTGTTAACAACAAATGTACAAATAATTTTAATATGTTTGAAATTTCAGATGATATTAGAGGTGTTACACATAATTTATTATGGGTAGAAAATGAGAATGAGCTGGGAAAAAGAGTGGAACATATATTGGATACATTATAAGCGTTTCGTTAAGTTTCTTAACCATACAAATATTTTAAATAACCTCTTAATGTTTTATTTAGTGGAATACTAGACCTAGCAACTTTTTTATATCAAGATTCACTTGTAGTTTAGAATTTGATATCTAGAACAACTTAATTTACTATAATACTCCATTAACACAGCCCTAGCAAATAGAAAACTACAGGCATTACAAAGAAAACAAACATCATATAAATGCTGTCTCTGTCTAATTCTACGTATTGCCGTAATGAGTAAGATTAAGAAGGTAAAAAAAATATGTATATGTGCACAAGTTACAACCTAAAATCGTTCGATTTGTGATCGAAATATCTATCAATAATAAACGCCAGGCCTTTCTCGGTCTTCGTCGAGACTTTAACAGTAGCTATTCAGTAATATTTATAAGAATTTTCTGAATCAATTAAATATAGTAAATAACGAAAAATCTATAAACTTGCATAATTTCATAAAGACTGCCAATTGGGCTACTTGTGATTGCTTGTTACTAATGCTAGATTTAATTTTCATAGTACGCGGGTATATTAACTATTTAACTAGTTATTAGCTAGTTATCTTGTTTTTTTTTTTTTACACTTAGTAGCATCAAAGGCCATTAACTTTAATAATTCAATTAAAACAGACTCAGCTGCAAATATACATTAATGTTCTCGAAATAATTAAAAAAAATTAGTAAACGCAATTTTTTATTGGTTTATTTATTAATGATAAAAAAGTTCTAAACTTTAAACTGATGTATCATAAACTCTAAATCCAACTTGACAAATGTAACGACCAATGAACGTTTAATTGATCAAAAATAGAGTATTCAGAGCTTTCGTTACACAAAATAGACAAAATAATGCTAAGAAAGATCGAATCCAACGTCAGCATTAATAGCATATGACAATTTTCTAAAAGTATATAATATTTAAATTTAAAATGAGTTAAAGAATTGGCAATAAATGTAATATTTAATAAACAGATGAACATACTGCCTCAAAGTGTTTTCATCAGGGTAAGCCGGTAATTTAAGCAAATTTACACAAGTACTTGATGATGGCAACCTTGCTCCAGTACCAGCTCTACGTATACTGAACTTCGGGTTTAGTTCTTTAAAACCAAGAAGAGGAGGTCGAGAACAAGATGTAACAAATTTTATTAATTTTTGCTTTTGTTCTTCGGAAAATTCAGATACGACTTTCCAAAAGTTGATGATGACGGGATCATCATCCTTGTAATCAGCGTACACAGTGTTTTGTTGTAAGTCTGCAATATTAATAGGAATGTACGCTCCTCCCACAAGAATTTGTAATTCTTGCTGTTCAAAACAGTAGTGTAAATAAAAAATTATGATAAGCAAAACATGAGGTTAAAAAAGAACAAACCTGATTAAACATTTTTAACCATTTCGGCTCTATTAAATCTATTAAACCACGAAAAAATGCCTGGCATTGCAAACCTATTTGAACATTTAACCTATAATTGACCATCTTATAAATATAGTTGATTCGATTGTGTTTGGTAACTGGAATGTCACTGCCTCCAGGGATCAAATCGATAGTTCGTGATTCTCCAAACTCTGATAAAAAAAAAAAAATCAAAATAGTAATAATTTACCTAAAGCAAAGACAGATGATTATGATAATCCTCACCATTATCTACTATGGTAAAATTCAATGATAAATCAGACTCTACATCTCCTTTATAATTTTTCAAATAAACCAAGCCCTGATATAATTCTGGATCAACGGATGGTAAATCATCCACTATAATATACCAAAATCGAATCAAAATCAATTCACAAGAGCTTAAATTATTAAACAAAAATTAAAGACGCATACAGTACGACCGTTCTCCCAACCATTTACTCAGGAAAAAGCCAGAGAAAGCCGCGTCAACCAAAATTCCTTCGTATAAAGCTTTGCCCAATATACGACCAAGGAACTCATAGTAACGTAGCTGCGTTTCTAAAATATAAACACAATATAAATTAATTATGTTAAGAAAAAGGTATGTGTCTTTTGATGTTAATAAGTTTGTATATATTTTTAATTACCATTACGTGCATAACTATGTGGATTCGGATATAAAAGCTGTTCATTTGTACTAAGGAACAACCCATATTCTGCATCAAAGGCTATCCGCGTCAATCTAATAAAGAATTGATTTGAATTCTATCAGTAAAAATCTGAACTATTTAATTGTTGTGTGCCTTTTAATATTCGCTTACGAAGTCAAAAATTCCTTGAATAAACCACCACCGTCTATTCCAGCTTCTTGAATCCCAAATTCGTCAATAAATTGAATAGCAACAGGATTTTTTAATCTAGGGCCCATGGCGTTAAGGTAAGTAAATCCATCTTCGAATATTTTATTTCGACGAATGGTCACACGTGTTCGAGGCTCAAATATAGTATGAATATGACTTTTAAATTAATTAAATTATAATCAATATGACAAGTAACGACAATGTTTTACAGATATAAATATAATTTAATCACAAGATAATAACAAAACAATATTAATAATTACCGTTCACGGTCATTACGAACAAACTGCCTAAAAATTTTGACACGTTCCTCAAAAGGTATTACGAAAGGAATATTGTGAAGGACGCCAAGACGCGGGCTAACGAATTCCAATTGTCGTTTATCCAGATTTGTTTTATCATTCTCAAGTTCCTGCTCTTCTGCGACAACATTTTTAGCGAAAGTGCTCATATCAAATTCCGACGTCATTAACCAATGACGTTCTGGAGTGAATCGTCGGCGAGAGCTAAGGTCAAAGAAAATACTGTTATTAAAGTAATTTGAAAAAAGATAAACGTCGAAAAGTAACATACTCTCTTGCATGAATCTGTTTTAACAATCTGGTAGCAACTTCTCGAATATAAATGGGTTTAATGCAACTACCTTCGATAGCGTTGCTTATTTTTAATTGAGGACTGTTCCAATATAAAATAAAAGCTATATTCTATAAATAAAATGTGAATAGAGTGTTTAATTATTGAAATCACGTAGTAAAAATTCATCATAAAATACTTATTAACCTTCATATAAGTAGACATCTCAATAATCTCCGGTAGTTTTAAAGGATTTTTACTTCCATCAAAAAATTCATAATCGTCCATAGGAAGTAAAATTCGACTAAATAGCTCGCAAAACAAGTAAAACATACCCCATTGTTCAATATTTGTGGTATCTAATTAAATAAAGTTTTTTATTTTTTATTTTTTTCGAGTTAATATATTTAATCCTCTCAACTATATCGAATTAGATTATTTTAGTGGACTTAATATACCTGTAATGAAACCAATTGATAATGGTTGACTATTTGACAACAATCGAGCAAGATCTGTTTCTTTGAACGCTTCCCATAATGCATTAACTGAAAATTTGTTTTCTGATATGGAAAGCTTTCCGTATGACATTTTACTTAATAAGTCTGATCTTTTTGAAGACCAACGAATCATCAAAGTTGATAAAAAATATGAAATTTTGAGTAGAGCCGTTGTATTTGCGGATTTTGCAAACGCCAAAACAGATTCCAAATGTTTATCGTCGACTAAGACGGAAATCCACTTTAGAATGCTCGGATCAATTTGTGGTTCATCAAATGATTCCGGACGATCTTGGATTATTGTATCATTATTATCGCCGTCATCATCATCATCATCATGGTTTGCTGATACTCAAAAAACAATATCGACCATTATTAGATTTATAGTACAAAAATCTTTGAATTATATAAAAATAAATCATTTATATACTTGATGTTGTCTTGTCTGCAAGTAAATGATCTGGTATTCGTAAAAATAGGCGTTGAAGGACCGTCAAGTAGGCAAGCTGTAATAATATAATTAAATTTAATGGAAAAAATAATAATATACATTGTCTTGAACAAAAAGTATCGGGTAAAAGTTTTTATTTTGAATCTTTATTTGACATAATACTTTTTGCGGGGTATGTAACTATAGGAAGGTCACAGATGCATCATAATACATACCAATGCCGTATCGTTCATTTTATTAACCTCAAGATGTGTAAAGGCCAGCAAATTACTCAATAAAATACTTCCTTGTTCAGCATTCCAATCATTACTGGCTATTACTGATATGATATCATATAATGGCATTTTCGAAGAAAGAAGCTCCAAAGCTTCGACACGATCCGCCAATAGTGGTATGGTAAAAATATATGTGATGAAATCTTTAAGAGAATATTCGTAGGCAAAAGCATAATCAGGATCAGAAGTAGGTATGATTTGGAATGGATAAAGAGAAAAGCTTATGATCAACATGATCGTCTGTCTATTTTCATCTTTGTTTTCGATTTCCTATTTTTTTTTTTTTCCAGTTAGATAAGCAACAACGATGTGATTTGCTATCGATTATTGTTAAATAATGCAAACATATTGCCTCACCAAATTTATCAACCGATTTCTTAATTCAAGGTAGAGTCCATGGTTGATAAGGTATTTTAAAAGTTCTAATGATATTTTTCTATAAAATACATATATTATAAGTTGATAATTATGTTTAAAAACTCGAGAAAGAGAGAAAAAAAAAAGAGAAATAAACTATATACCATATACGGACCTGCCACCTTCTTCTAATTGTCTATACTTATTGACATCCACAGCCAAAAGTAAAGTATTTAAATAATTAACTATATCGCGATCACGATTTCTAAAATAAATAGAGAGCATAAATAATCAGCATAATCATACAAGAGTAGTTTACGCTAAACAGGTGATATTTAAGACTAATTACATGGATTGTGACCCGACACTTTTAATAAATATAAGCAAAAGTTTTTTCAACTGATGAAACCAAGTATAGCGCAAATCTTCGTAATAAAATGGGACAAATATTGTTTCAACATCTAAGAAAAGTTTAAAGTATTATGAATGGTTAATTGTTATAGAAATACCTTCTTTCAATCGCATAAGAAAAGTAAGGTTAGATTATGCACCGAACATCTTCTTCCATAAAATCTGACACAAGCATAATTCGCGCTGAGCATCATGAGTTGAACGATAAAAAAAGAGGAAACTGCGCACAAGTTCAACCAGAGAAGCCGCGGCATTTACATCCCACTTAGTATGAACTGCACGAAAAATAGATTCAGCGTTTTGATCCCATACGGCACGTTCTTTATTGCGCAAATTTCCTGCTACATTTCTTCCACGATAAAATGCCTAAAGATAGATCATGTTGAGATTCCTCGATCAAGCGATTGAATAAATTTAAAATAAGATCGAAAGATTACCTGGATCTTTATAGCTGATTTCTGACGTAAACGCTCGTTGTCTCGTTCACGACGCTGTTCCTTATTCTTTTTTATAAGAGTTGATTTGTCCTCTTGCACTCTCTGACCTCCAAGATTTATTTTTGGGCGTGTTTTAAAATTGCCTTCAAAAGAATTGAACATTGCAAATAATAATGATAAGACTAGAACAGGGAAACACTAGAATTTCGATAAAAGCTTTGAATTTTTACGACCTGTGATTAAAAATTCGCTTAGTTACTGGTATATCCTATCGGTTTTATTTCAACCGAACGTAACTGGTAAGTTCATTCACATACGGTGTATAAATATATATATATATAGTTACTCTGATTGGCTGAACTGAAATTTAAAATTCGAATTAAAATAACTGACTACACTTTAAAGTAACGTCATGTCCGACATATTCGGGTTTTTAAGTTACTCGAAGCTTCGATGGTTTACTCGAAGTTTTGATGGTTTTATCAACTGAATTATTAACAATTTTTTTGAGGATATCTGGAGTTGAAAAGAAGATGGCATTCACACATTAAATAAATGAATAAGGCAAATAGAAAATCTGGGATTTCCGAATTAATAATCATTTAAAAATCTTTTCATTATATGACAAATTAATTATATTCTAATAATAAAATGATCCAAGCTGAAAACTGCGACCCTTTATTAAGCATGAATAATATATTATTTACATATAATACTGTAGCAAAAATGCTATTAAAACCAAATACAATTTTAATATTGAAACGTAATGAAAAAATCCCGCAAAAACTACGTTAGAAAATTTATTTGTAATCGCAATATACTGATAGGAAAAAATAACTTCATTATCTCTATTACATACAAATGCTTTATTAAAATTATTATAGGACACAAATTTCACTTCAAGCGACAACAGCTACTAACAAACTCGAAAAGAATACATGTACATAAAAAAAAGAAAATAAAAAGACCGTTAAAGTCATTTACATTAGTGGGGGTCCGTTAAAGCCAGGTTCGTTTACATAATGATCTACAAATTGCATAAATTGCGTTCTTGATATCTTAATAAGCAAATAACCCTAAGGCCACTCCAAATTGATTCTTCGTTTAACATAATATTAAATAATTTATAGAAGTGGGGGAGGGGACAAAAAAAACACAAAAATAATAATATTGTAATTTTATTGGTTGATTTAACATGTGTTGGTTATATA